CTAAACTTATTAGCTACAAGTGAGTCTTGAGAAAGAAATTAAAAACATACTAAAGTTTTTGATGAGCATAATAAAGCAAAACTAATAGCCAAAGGTTATGGTAAATAAAAATTATAAGGGCTGGATTACTTTTGAGATTTTCTTTGGTAACTAGATTGACATCTATTAAAATGATATTGCTGTTTCCTCCATTTATAATCTTAAAGTGTAGCAAATGGATGTGAAGATGACACTTTTAAATGGAGAACTTGAAGAGGAAATTTACAATGGTATGGGGTCCAAAGCCAAGGGGACAAGAATAAGAAGAGGACACAATTTTGTATGGAAAAATTAGGACATGTGTCAAAGATTTCTACCACCAAAAGGTAAGAAACTCAATAAAGCAAGTATCATCTTTGAGGATGATATGTTTGCTATACTCACAAATTTGAGAATTTTTCTATGTCATTAGCATTGAAAAAGTCTTGAGGAAAGATTCATAAGTTGTGTTCCTTTATGGAATTATTGAGAGGGCCCATCTCATCTCAAGTCATAATAAACACATTGCTATATAATCTTGTGAGAAGTTTTGTGAAAAATGATAAGATAGAATATTTGCCTACTAAATAAATAATGTTGAATGACCCCATAACAAAACCTTTAAATGAGAAAAGTTGACTAAATTTTGGAGAGGCATGGGACTACTACTGGTAAGGTGGAGTGATCATATTTGAAACCAACTTCATCACTTTTATGTTGACATGAAGATGTGTCTCTAATTAACAATCGGATGCATAGAAGTTCAATGGCAATTCAATCATGAATTACTCATGAAATGTAAACATGAGGTGTTGCATTTTCAATGCACTTTATTATTTAAGGAATAGTGGGGGAAATGAATAAATAAATAAAATAACTAAATAAACAAAATAACTATTCATGAAAGGTCCCTTACCTAAGTAAGTGCATTGTTTATTCACAACAAATTAGGTTGAACATTAAGGTTCTTGATAGACTCATAGCTTATTAAAGTTGAATGGAAGTTGTGAACATTCTTGATGTGCCTTTATGCAAGTAGGAAGGTCAAAGGTCGCCTTCTATAGATTACACTAGTTAATCATAGAGTACTCTCTAGAACATGATTAGCGTATGACCCTTTTATAAGTGCGCTTGCCATGGTGGAACTTTGAGCCCATGTATCATGTGAATATAAATCTTTCGTGATTCATATTTAGTTCAAAGGTTCAAGCCTTGGCTACCTCTTGGATATACATTATATATTGCTAGTATACTTAACATTAATTTTAGAAAATAAGCAGGGGATTGTTGTATGTATTAAAATATATACAGTATTTTCTAATAATAATAGAATAATGTTATAAACACATATGATATAACATATAATATATTTATGTAGTATTTTAATATATATATATATATATATAAGGAAATGGGAAGGGATAGAGGAGGAAACTAGAATAAAAGGTAAAAAGTAAAATAAAGAGGAAAACATAAAATGATTTGTATAAAGGCATGAAACCATTTCTCAATGATTGTCTTGTTTCTTGGTGCAGTTCAAAATTTTAATATTAAACTTGAAGAAAGACGTCAATTCTTCTTTAAAAGTTGTTTCTTTGAAGTGGTGCAAAAGGCACCAATTGGTGTATATAAATTAATAAGATAGCATGAAGAGATATAACTTCTTTCGTTAGCATTCTTTTTCTCCTTGAATATACTGGCTTTGGGTGATTAAAGTTCAATTAATAGGCATTGTATTTTGGGGATAACATTTCTTGTAGAGGTAGAAACTATTATCCTTAACATAGGTTCTTGGAATTGCCTTGCCTACACCAATTTCTCTATGTTTATCTCTTTGCACACACATAACTATGACAATGGACAATCTCACTATCAGCTTTAAAAAGCTTTTGGTGGATCTTCTTTTTCCTTTCCCTTCATGTGTGGTACATTATTGCATCCATGTTAACTTAACAAGAGTATCTTGCAAAGACTTTCTACTAATCTTTTTCCCCATCCAATGCAATAGACCCTACCATGAATTAGTTAGGGGAATGTCTACCATAGCATTAAGTGTTTGCCAGATTCTCTGTGTATCATTACGTTTAAAGAATAGGTGCTCATTTGTCTCTAATTCACTATTGCATAGAACACAAGTCTCAACAATGGGAGGGTCCACTTCTTCTACTAGGCATTAGTGCTTAGCCTGTTGGGAATATCTAACCAACTAATAAAGCTATACTTCGAAATTGCTTGAGACAACCATATCAACTTATGTCACACCTTTCTAGTCATCTTTCTCCTTAACCAATTCCAAGTTTGCCCAATCTTGAAATTACTAGAATTTGAAGTTATCCATAATATGCTATCTTTCTAACCTTTTATGGGGAGCATGTCAAAGAGGTGCATCTATATCTAAACTAGTTTAGGAGACCTCATAGAGGTCACTGCTAGAAATTTCCATTAAATACACTTGCTAGCTTTGCTTGAAATGAGATTCCTGCATTCCTAACAATGTTACTGCCACATGCTTCAATCAATGGCCCAAGAAGGTGCCAATGATTGTGACAAATGTAAATATCTATGCCATCTCCTGAGATGTGTTGTGTAAGTCCCTTTGCTATGTGCCTAAGTTTATGGATTTTTCTCCGTCTGCAAGATGCATCAATTGGTATGTTGAGGATCAAAAAGCTTCTACCTTTACTAAGTTATTCATAAACCCCAAACTACCCAAATTGATCTTGGTTTGGAGAATAATAGCCAAATACACTTGAGGCCACACATTTGGTTCCATATATAGAACTAGGTTCTTGAGACCTAGGTTACCTTTCCTGTTTCAAAGAAGAATTGCAAACACAAATAAACATGTGACCTCATCGGTTTGCCTGTGATTATCTAATTTCAATATATTAAGTAATAAATAATAATGGTTCTATCAATGATTATCTATTTATAATAACTAAAGGAAAAATTATTCTTTAGTGGTTTGGTTAAAATTTCATTCTAAATTAAGTGGAAACTGAATTTTGTGTCTTACATAAGTAAAAAAGTACTAATTAAATTTATCATAAGTATATTAAGTCATTTTAAAAAAGTTTAGGGTACCCTTTACACAAATATATGCTTAAATTTAAATTCTTATTAATTAAAGAAACCTTATTTTAACTGAACCATTTCACTTCTCATAGCCACTATTCTCTTGCCTCCTCCTCATTTCATTGGGAGAAGGATTTATGTACTTTCAATTATATTTTTGCTTTGTGTGATGCAATTATGAATCAAAGATATTGATGTTTGACTGTTTTCTTTAACAAGAAAAAAGAATTTAAGTTTTTTAAGTTTTCAATTAATCTTCCATTAGATTATTAGTTATTATTATTTTTTCATGATTGTAAAGTGATGGATGCACCAAAATAAATTTTTGCTATTGTCACTTTAACGATAAGAAACTCTTTATGGAATGTGCTATCAATGTATAAAATTGGATGAAAACTAGAACCATATCCCACAAGTAATATAGGCTTTCTAAAAATAACTTAATACACTTATGATAAAATTTAATTAATATTTTTTATTTATTTGAGACACAAAATTCAATTTTCACTTAATTCATAATGAAATTCTGATATCAAATTATTAAAAAATAATTAATTCAAATCAAACAAAATTATTATTTTTTAAGACAATATATTGTTAATATATATTAACAATTTTGGTCCACACCCCATATGCTTGGCATGAGAAATTTGTATGATTGACTTATGAGAATCTAATTTTCTTCCATGGTCCAACTCCAACGGAAGACATACCTGTCAGTTGGGATTTAGTAGGGTTCTGCTCCACATCCACATGTTGTAGTATTGAGTCTTTATTGTCACCACTCATTACCCACTTAGCTGGAATTGAAGAATTTTGTAATACCTTTGAACGTGAACACATGGTATATATGATCCATAGTATTTTCCTCTGATCATACTTTTATTTAAGAAATCAAAAAGGAAGAAATTGTGGCAGGAACTGTGGCAGGAACATAGCTGGAGGACAGTATGGAATTTTAGGACGAGTAAATTAATAGAGTAACTTATTGGAAATAGTTATTGAAAAATCACCCAAAAACATATAATATAAAATAGAGAGAATCCACGTGAGCTAAATTATTGCTATAATTGACTTAAAGTACATGAAATTTCCATCACATGAATTACAGTCATTTTTGCTCCGTTGCTCTATTTTTGTAAACGCTATAATAATATAAATATGTTCCATTTGAATTCATAGAGGTACAAAAATATTGTTCAAAACATATATGAGTCTTATTTTAAAAGAGCCTTTATCTTTTTGAATTTAAGTGAATCATATTTATATCAATATAGTATTAAGGGTTCAATAATAGAATATAGAAATGACCATGTGACTTACTGATAAGATTTTATTTATTTTAGTTCATTTATTTTAAGTCAATTATAATAATAATATAAAGCTTATGAATTAACGGTAATACTATAGTTAAATGTCATACAAAATTTTAAATTTATAATGATGTCATATTTAAGGAGTATAATATTTTATTAAATAAGTAAATATATATAATATTATAAATAATTTTTTAAAATAAAAAAAATTTAATTATATAATAACATATTATAAATATTATAAGCTTCAGCATTTTTGAAAAAATAAACAGGTAAAGGATTTCCCGGGGTTAAGCCCCGTTAGTGTAGCAGTAGTGGATAAGGTTTCACATGGACGTGGCATGTCCGAATCAAGCTTGTCTCTCAATTTAACAACACAATTTTACATTCAATGGCCCAGTTTGTTAAACCCACTGGACCCACAAACTAACACCAATCACACCAAACAGCCAACGCTCGCTCTCCCTTTGGAGAGGGCTGCCACCTACAAACAATAACCATCATTACAGAAGTAGCAGACTTACCAAAAGGAAAAATCTCCAAAACAAATTAAGAAAGAAAGAAAGACAGAAAGAAAGGAGCCTTGGATGCCCTTTATGCTGATTCCAATGGGCACCGTCTACTTTTCCCTCAAAAAACAAAGAAGACAACTGCTACTTTTACTAGCTCCAAGCTTCTCAGAAGCCACACAATTAGAAGAAGTTGAGGCGAGAGGTGTAAGTGGCTTTTGGAGACCAATTTCTGGGAATTACATCCCTTGCAGATAGGGCTCTTCCTGTTGATAACGTGGTTAGCTTCACTGAGAATGGCCCTTTTAAGGGCCCCCTAATAATGCACCAATTTGCTCCCCATAGGTGATTCATCTCTAACCACTCACTAGAACCAGCCTGCCATGCCATTGTTAAAATTCAGTTAGTTAGTGTATACACCAAACAAATGCACGTAATTATAATTAATTGAGGAAAGCTATTTTTAAGTCTAAACAATTTTAATAGATCATGTCCATCATATTTGAAATGAAAATTTAACTAATACTATTTACTCATGGAATTAATTAGGTTATAAATTTATTTGCTCCTCATAAATGTTGTAACTTTTTTTGTAAAAAAATTTATCTAAAGTATCATTTGACTTAATTTTAAATTAGTTATTAATGAAAAGGGATTTAGTTTGGGTTTATGGTGTTGCATGTGCAATTTGCCTGGCCTAATTAAATATTTAATGAAAAGATGATGTATAAATGTATTGCTTGGCCTATAGTGTGTATGCATTGGGAAAAAGAACAAAGGTACAATAAAGGAGCTGACAAGGTGACCAACACGAATATTATTTTGAACATGCTTAGGATATTGGTGGCCCCGTATCACATGCAATAAGTCCAGAAATGGATCAATTCAGAAAAAAGAAAAAGGATAAAAAGAAGGAAGAAAAGATTATTTACCCAAAAAAAAGAAGAAAGGGAGAGCAAGGGGAAAAAGTTGATTTTGATTTTTGACCACATTTTACATTGGCGCCATTAGGAAGGTCTTTTCATGCAAAAAATGAGAAAGAGAAGCACTTTTGAATAAGTGCTTCAAAAGTATGATCAAGGGACCCATATTAATTTTAAGCTCCATGTCTATGGAGCCTAAAGCACTTTTCGCGTTTTTCCACCGTAAAAGTCACAAGCAGAGTTCAGAAAGAAGTTTTATTTTCTCTATTTTTAGAGAAATGGATATAACATGAATTTAACTGAAAAGGTTAAATAAAAAACTTACTTCTCTTATATGCATTGATCCAATATCTCCATCTCCATCCTCAAATTCAACCAGAAGCGACAACCAATAATCCGTGGAACCTTCATTTACTTGGAAGGCAATGTTCTTCCCTCCATATTTACACGCCGTCCTGAAAATTGAAAAATAATTAGATCACAAAATTCAAGTCAAATAATGGATTAACAATTAATATTATTAGTTTGTGTATATAATAAAAAAACATAAAGAAGTACTTACGTTTTTATGTCAACTGGTAAGATGTTCAATTAATCAAAATCAAATAATGGATGAAACTTAACTAAACTCATATTAGTGTCATTCATTGTATGATTATAATTGAACACTAACTTTTTTAATATAAAAGTGTTTTGAGTTTTATTTTTTATAATGAAGTATTTAAGTATTCCTTTTTTTATAATATATAAATGATAATTAAAATTTTTTTCTAAGTTAAACCTCTAATTTGGTCTTTTATCTATTATGTAAATCTTTCGTTTGGTTTCTAAATTAAAAAAACCTTTGATTTGGTCAATATTGTTTACCAATTTGACTCCAAATTGATTTTTTCGTATAAAAACAGTTGACATGTCTCATATTAACGCGACATGTAATTGTTAAATATGATTTTCTATCATTAAATAAAAGATACATAAGTTATCTTTTAACAAAATGATTAACTTAAATTTAAATTGGTAAATAGTAAGAATCAAATCAAGAAATTTTTTAATTTAAGAATCAAATCAAGATATAATAGTTGAGGATCAAATCAAAGATTTAATCTTTTTTCTATACATTAATCTTGCTAAATAATTTTATTTTATCTTAAAATTTTTAATTATTATTTATATATTATAAAAAAATACTACTTAAAAGTACGTACAAAATTAGAACAATTAATAAAACGGGAGTAGAAACAGGAAAAAAAAAAAAAAAGGATGAAGAAGAAAAGAGGTAAATGACAATATGGAACGGACAAAGAAAGGAAAGATGGCCATTCAGTTAAAAGCATTTTCCTATTTTATTTTCTTAAAGTCAAATTAAAGCTAGAAATTGACAAATGCCATCAGTAACCCAAGAAAACACAACACTAACATACCTCCGGAAAACAACTGGGATCTCGCCTCGGTTCCTGAGTTGGGTACCCTCCCCAGCTATGGCCAGGCGACCGAAGGCCGCGCCACTCAGGTCGAAGTGGCTGCGTCCATTGCCGCAGCCGGGGCACTCATCAGTTACGATGACCGTCACAGCCCGCCTCGAGCATATGCTCTTGTCCAGACACCGCACTTTGTAGCACTCCCCGCACCCCTCCCCGTTCTTGAACAGTACCGGACTCACCGAGCCGACTCGGGCCTTCAGCGGCTTCACGTCCACTAGGGTTCCGTACCCACAAGCCCCTCCTGTACCAAAAACATAATTAATTATGCTCAGATCACTGAATATTAACAAACCCTTAAAAAAAGAAAAAAATGGTGATGGGGAGGAACTTACCGTCGCTGCCATCACCGTCAGGGCTGCCGTACCAAGTGGCAGTAGCGGGATGCCAATGTGGGTCTGATACGTTACGCTTGCCTAGCGCCACTGAAGTGCAGGACCCCAACAACACTAAGCAGAGTAAAAACCCAAGAAACCCACTAAACCCACGGGGGTGCTGCATTGTTTTAACTAGCGGCGCCACCACTTCTTCAGCCCTACGCGGTGGCAAATAAACCAGAAGGAGCGTGGGAAAAGTAAATTAATAGCTACTCAGTGCTGCCGACAGTGGAACAGGGCCTGGGGAGTGACTATACATAGACGTATTTATACAGAGGAAGCAGGAAAGCCTCGGTATTTTTTTTACTTTTAAAAAGGGGCCCGCCGACAGTTAAGGCGTTCATTCCGGCTAACCGTACTTTAGGTCTTTTGGTCATTTCGTGAACCGGCCATTAATATTATTTTGTTTTTCGTTTTTTTTTAATTAAACAATAAATTCTATAATACAATATAATTCCTTTAATTTTTTTTTCTATTTCTCTTAAAAATTTAAATTTAAAATTTTAAAATTTTAAATTCTTAATTACTCAAATTATTTTAGAGACATTATTTTGCTCTTCCAGTTCTTTCTGTAACAACGAGTCGTTGGGGCAATTGGGGATGCCAAGAGAAGGCGCGCTTTCCTTCATCGGAATTTGGTTTCTTGAGTACATGTTGCGGCTAAAAATGTGAATGTGTCTGAATTTGTTGACCTGATTGCTTACTCTGCATTGACAATTCAGCGCTTGCTCTCGGAATTTGATTTTTT